ATGTTCACTGCTTCTCCTCCCATCAAACTTGCTTTGACTTCTTTGGGGGGACTGACAGAGACCCCCCAGGCTCCAAATTTGGTTTTTCAAGGCAGCCTCCACTGTGGAACAGCAAAAGCAATATTCTGAGTTTAAACAGCATGGGCCATTTCCCACCTGGATTGTTTTTCATGGACAATGGTGATGATGAGCTTGCAGGACTCATCTCTATCTCACAAGTGTGAGGCATGTGAAAGTTAAGCAGATGTGAACAGGCATTGAGAGGGGGAATGGCACTATTTTTTTTCCATGTTTTCCATTTTTCAAACTTTTTTATTGGGTTTTATTCTATTTCCAAAGCAGAGAGGGCTAGAGAGCAAACAAAAATGTGCAGTTTTGAAGGACTAGGGGTATCAGGCCAGGTTAGATGGGGCTTGGAGCAGCCTGGGATAGTGGAAAGTGTCTCTGCCCATGGCAGGGGGCTGGAACTGGATGAGCTTTAAGGTCCCAAAGCATTCCATGACTCTGTGATTCACAAAGGCCGTGCTTCCTGCACAGCTCTTGGTCTCCAGAGCTGCTCATCCCACCCAGACACGAGTCCTGGTTCCTTATTCAGCTGTTATCCCTAAATAACTCTCCTGCTTCTGGAAGAGTATCTGATTGCAGACCAAATTAATTAGTAATAATGGGATAAACAGATAATGAGCTGAGCCAGCCGACCTAGACCTGATTGATTTTCCTGCCCTTTTCACAAAGAGAGGGCTACATATTTTTTTTTAATTTATTTATTATCATTTCATTTGTGTGCTTGAGTTTAAGCTGAATTGTTTGAAAATTACAACCATGGAGAAGCAAAATTTTCTCAAAAACAAACCCAGAAATACTCCAGTGTGCTCTGGGGACCATGACATAAAAGAGGCAAGTGCAAGTCAGCAGGAAGCAGTGCAGTGGTGGTTCCTGCCTTGCAGCCTACAGGAGCTCAGCCACACTTCACAGAGAGGGATTTGCCTCTGTCTGTGAGTCTGGGAAGCAAATTCCCTTATCCCAACCCTCAGGAGAACTTCCCTACTGCTGCCCAGTGCGTTATCAGCTGAGCAGCCGCTGTGTTGCACATGTATCTCCTAGCTGGAAAAGCATCTGGAGCTAAATCCCAGTCTTCAGTGAGGCTGGGACTGCATTCCCCTCTTCAGGAATACAGAATCATGGAATAATTGGGGTTGGAAGGGACTTTTAAAGGTCATCTTGTTCAATCCCCTTGCCATGATTTTACCTCATCTGGCCAAATCCCCTCCAAGCCAGCCGACACCAGCACAGAGATTATCTGTGAAATGTGTTTTTTTTCCTACACACTTGAGCTGCTCACTGATTCCTCTCATTTTAAATATTTTGACAACAGGCAAGACAATCTGAACAGGATTCATCACGTCCTGAAAGAGATGCCTACACCTGGCCAGAACACATCTGTGAGAGATGTCCATCAAAAGGCACATCTTTAATGGAATGTATAAACACCTATGTTTATGGTTACTTTCTTGGGAAAATGGCTAGAAATTGTGAAAACAGTATAGAAAGGCCTGATTCTCAGGGTGACACTCTGATGGTTACAAACTTCCTTAAAAGCCCAGGCTTTGATCTCACTTCCCTTTGGTTCTCCTCTGTACACACTGCCAGCTTCATCTGCTTTTCCCTGTGGATTTCCCCCTCAGTGCATCCTCTGCAGCCTTTCCTGTGCTGGAAAACAAATTGAACACTCCTCTAAAAACTAAACTTCTCCTCCTCAGAGCTGGGCAATATTTACTGACCCCAGGCTGTAGAATCACAGAATCATCGGGGTTGGAAGAGACCTTTAAAATTATCAAGTCCAACTGTCAAACCTCCTCAAATAAGGGTAAATCCACAGAAACTGAATCACACTCCTAACAGGGAATAGTGGGATTTACATGGATCATCTCCTTCCCCCTGCCACGGGCAGGGACACCTTCCACTATCCCAGGTTGCTCCAAGCCCCGTCCAACATGACCTTGGACACTTCCAGGGATGGAAGAAGTTTAATCTGAAAAGAAAGCCTGGATTTCATGCATGTTCATCCCCTGTGAGGAAGGGGTGGGTGTTTGAAGACAAAAAAAAAGAGGAAGGATGTTATTGTTTAGAGTGGAAATCTACCTCCTTAACCAGAGCCAGTGATCAACCTCAGCACCACCATCAAGTGCTCTTAACAAGTGATTAATCTGTCTGACATATCAAATTACAGCTGTGATTAAGCCCCTCTGATCAATACAAGTGATAATGGCTCCTAAACAAAGCTTTCTTTCCAGAATGTACTGAGACACTGTGTTTGTTTCCACTCACTTGATTAGAAAGGGTAAAGAAGCACTCTTTAAACCTCAAGTGATTCTCCTTCTCCTGAAAAGACCTGGGAAGTGCACAAGGTAACAAAACTCCCTGGACATAAATCAAAGTTTTACTCTGCAGATCACAGGGAGCCTCAATTGCTTTCCATCCTCCTGTTCTAGGGGATTAAACTGGGTTAAAATGATGTTTTTCCTCAGAGTTTTACTAGGATTTCTCTTTCCAGCAACACTCAGATGAAAGAGTCATCACCTTCATATGATCTCATATTATCACCTTCATGAGATTTCTCTCCAGCAAACTTCCCCCTCACCCCCAACCGTCAAAGTTCAAAGTTTGATTTTACAGCTCAGCATTTATTGAGTTATGGAGCCCTGCTCCAGAAAAACACCTTCTTTGACCTACTTGTGCTCACATGCTCAGATCACTCTGAAGGGAACACACATCCTGTGTAGGCACTCAGAAATTACCTATGCACACAGCACAGAACTCCATACACTCATCCACAGCCACCCATTTAAGAGCCAACAATTCTGCTTTTTCCTGTTGCCTCCTGGGCAGTTGTGTCTGGGTAATAAAGTCAGGTATTGAGCTCCTAAATACCTGCTGATGTTTTGGGGTAAATGGATGCCAACTGCTTTCCAAGAAGGAAGGGACCTTAAAATCATCTTCCAACCCCCTTCCATGGGCAGGGACACCTTCCACTATCCCAGGCTGCTCCAAGCCCTGTCCAACCTGGCCTTGGACATTTCCAGGGATCCAGGGGCAGCCACAGCTTCTCTGGACACCCTGTGTCAGGCCTCACCACCCTCTCAGGGAAGAATTTTTTCCTAATATCCAATCTAAACCTGCTCTCTTTCAGTTTGAAGCCATTCCCCCTTGTCTTGCCATTCCAGTTTTCAGTATGTCCTCCATGGACAAAACCATTTTCCTGTCCTCCAAACTGCAATTTCTGAATCACTCCAGTTCATCATTAGTGACTGGTGGAAATGCAGATTTATCCCAGCCCAATATTTCAGCATTCCATCTGGGAAAAAACCCTCCAAAGTATTTCTGTGTACTTGCTTGGGGCGTTAATGACTTTCAACATGGTTGTGTGCCTTTACTTCAGAATTGGGAAAAATATTTGCATTGGTTTAGTTCTGTTGTTACAGAAAAAAAACCCCAAAAACCAACAAAAAAACCTGTTTTGGATTAAACTTTCCAATGAGAAAAAACATTCTGGAGAAGCTGAAAAAAATATTATCACTTCAACTATTTATTCTTCTCCTTTTAATGTACTGTATTTAATTGAATTTCTTTAAATATCCATGAAAACTAAATGAAACATTTAGCTGGCTTTCAGATGAAGCTTTTTATCCAGCCTGAGTTTTCCCTTTCCAGGGTTCCAGAAGCACATTTCTTCAAAAGGCTCCATTTAACTGCACAGGGACACTTGAAACAGCTTCCAAATCAAAGACATCCATCCCTTAGTAGATAAAAGCAGGGGCCAAAAGCTTTCCTGGCATCCAGTGAAGCTCCTCCTGGGATCAGCTTGTCCCAGGATTCTGTTCCATCAGAACAGTCCTTCAGTCTGTGGCCTGGCTGCAAACCTTGCCAGTGGAGAGTTTCCTCTTCCACTTTTCCCTCTTTCAAGAGGAGGGATGCAAATCTCAAGCAGGATTTGAGATTCATCTTCCCAGCCCTTTTCCCAGCAAACTGATCCCTTCTTTTTGGATCCTGGCACTCTCACCTAGGTCCCTACACAGCTTTTACTGACAGACACGGAACTTGGGCTGGGAACTTGGGAGAGGCATTTGGAGGGGGAGAGATCCAAATGGATGCTTTAACTTGGGGATCTGACAGCTCTGCTGCAGGTCAGGGTGGGATAGGATGGGATGGGATGGGATGATGGGATGGGATGGGATGGGATGGGATGGGATGGGATGGGATGGGATGGGATGGGATGGGATGGGATGGGATGGCATGGCATGGCATGGCATGGCATGGGATGGGATGGCATGGCATGGGATGCCATGGGATGCCATGGGATGCCATGGGATGGGATGGGATGATGGGATGGCATGGGATGGGATGGGATAGCACCAAAACCTTTCTCCTTTCCTGATGATTGGAGCAGGAAGAGGGTTAAGGAGAGTGGACACCCTTCCAGGGGGATTTCTCAGTGTGGTGGGAGCTCCATGAACAAGGAGAGGCTCTCAGCTGCCTGTCCCAACTCCAGAAATACTTCACAGCCTTGGAGCACCCTCTGCTTCACCACCAGGACAGGAGCAATTTTGGCATAGGGAAGGGAGGGCAGTTCAATCAAAGGAGATGGTCACAGTGACTTCTCTTGAAGTAATCCAAGGCCTGGAAGAACTTCAGCCTTTCAGTTCCCAAGGAAAAATTGGGAAAATTCCACTTCAGAGATGTGGACAACTGTGATTAAACCCACTTAAACACCTCAGTTAGGCTTTCCCAGCCTGGAGGCTGCGAGGGAACCTGCAGAGCTGCTGGAACCTTTGGCTGACTGAAGTGTGCTTTGGAAGCTCCCATTTCTCTCCCTCCTGAGGAGCAGCTGGAGGAATCCTTGCTCCAGAAGCAGAAGGGCTGGGAAATGGCCTGGACAAGGCAGCTGTGAGGCTGGGGGATGTGGGTTTGCTGGCCAGGGAGGGATGAGAACGTTGCTATACCTGAGGTCTGGTTGTCCCAGGGCAGCTCTGCCAGGCACTGGCTGCGCTCCTCCTCGATCTCCTGCATGATGCTGCACTCCGGGCGCGTGCTGGACACCTGCAGGGAGGGCACAGAAGGAGACAGTGAGCAAAGCCCATCCTCAGGGAGGCATTCCTGGGGATTCATGGCCTCGTGGAACAAGCTGGAGCTCTCCAGGACCATTGCACAGATGTGCACACAGTCTTATTTTATGTTCACTCAAGAGGAGGGAGAGAAACCCATAGCCCGCTGAAAAATCAGCATTTCCCTCCATTTCATTAGGGAAAAAAACCCCACAACCTATTTTTTTTTGTTGATGATCAGGAACAATTCTGCTGCTTTATGCTCTGGAAACCCTGCCTGGCTAACCAACAGCACCAGCTATGTAGGGCAGGGAGACAGCAGCTTTAATATTCATGCCAGGAGCTGGGGGATCTGTGCTCCATGGTTTATTCCCTGTCTCCCGGCTCTCATGCTAATTCAAAGCACAACAAACACCAAATCAAATAAGGACGGAATCTCTGATGCAGATTAGAAGATCAAGGAGCTCAAAAGCAGGAAATTCCCAGTGACAAGAGTTTTTCCCCTCAGGTGGATTCTCCTCAGTCAGGCCTAATCAGGTTTTGTTTGTAATACAACATTGGCCATAAATGCTCAGGTAATTAATTGTGGACTCCTCGTAACGTGCAACTCATGAACTGTCTCAGTCTTAAAAAGAGGAAATTGTGGATTTTACTCCAAAAAACCAAACTGGGAGCTCACACATATATCTCAGTGCCCCCTTGTCACCAACACGCTCTCAGCTTGGAGGGGACACCTTGGCCATCGCTATTGCCAGAAACTGAGGCTGCTCCAAACCCCATCTCTTTTAAAGGGATTGGAAAGGGCATTCAACAGGGAGAAAACTTTCCAGAAATGCAGCTGGAAAGAGGTGGAGAGAAGGGAATGATGTCCAGCCAAGACTTGGCTTGAGTTTATACTGTCACTGTTAAATGTTATGTGGGAAAAAGCATCAGTGGGGTGAACTTCAGGAACAGATCATGAGGACACAGGAGAAACTCTGCCAGTAAGAAGTGATTGATTCACTGTCCCCTCTTGAGGGTTTTGGGATATATTTTCATCAGAAATAGGCAGAGAAAATAAATTTAAAAAATAAAAAAAAAAAATTCCTGTCTCGTTTCAAAATGAGTTATTGCTCTGTTCATGTATTTGCCAGTCAAGGTTTTAAGACAAAAAGTCCAGCAATCCTTTGAAGGAACAATTGTTTGATGTAAATTTGGATTAAAATTATAAAATAATTTAGCACATTAAATTAATCTCACCATATCTTATTAACCTATCCTGCTCTCCTCCCTGTTTCATGCCATGCCTGGTTCAGATTTTAATTTCCTTTAGGTTAGGAATGGGCCTTGATTAGTAGTGTATAAACAATTAATTATGTGGTTTTCTAGTCAAATTAAAAATAAATATAAATACAAACACTAGAAGAAGGGGAATCATTTGGAGTTGTCTTCATTCTCAAATATTTCTTTTCCCCAAAGGGAAACAGATCTTTGGAAATTTCATCTTGGCTCATCTGAAACACCATAGATTTATTTTGTTTTGATTTACAGTGCTTCTTACCATTTTATTTTAACCTTAAAAAAGCACAAGGAGAAGCGTGAGAGATTTGCAGAACACTTTCTGGAAAAATAAAGATTGAAATGTTTTCAAAACATTCTGACTTTTTCAAAGTGAAGTTTTAACTCTCTGGACTTAAATGTTTGCCAAATTAATCTCACATCTATAAATACCTCTGGTTTTCACTTTATAAATTAATTCATACCACTCTAGCTTTGATCAGGGCTGGCAAAGCACTCTCTAATTGTACAATATATCTGAAATTTTTTTAAGCAGTAGCTTTTACACCAAGCCCATTAGCAAGTACTTCACTGCCACTTCTTCCCTTCACTAAAATCTCATGCTTGAACTGGATAATTCTATATTCCCCTCAATGGCCCAATATTTACTTTTGAGTAACTGGTTTTATCACCTTTAAAAAGCAAATGAGGCTCTGTTTAGAAAAGTGGGCTTGTGACAGGCTCAGATAAACTTGGTTATACATAGAATCTTTAAAATCTCACCATTTTTCTTTTTTTTTTGCCATACAATCCAAAAGAAAATATATCTATGCTAGGAAAAATCTGAAGAAAGAGTGTCCAGCAGCTAAAATACCAAAATACAGAAGATCTTGGATTTTGAAGTGCTGGTACTGACTTCTTGTGAGCTTTTAGGGAAGTTGGGTTCTCACAACAACCCCAAGCAGAACTTCAGGCTGAGGGGCTGGGAAAGGACCTGGGGGTGCTGGTGGCTGCACATGAGCCCAGGTGTGCCCAGGTGGGCAGGAAGGGCAATGGCACCTGGACTGGATCAGGAATTGGTGTCCAGCAGGACCAGGGCAGGGATTGTCCCATCTGCTGGGCACTGTGGAGGCAACACCTCCAACCCTGGGGTCAGTTTTGGCCCCGATGACAAAAAGGACATTGAGGACATTCCAGAGAAGGGAATGGAGCTGGGGAAGGTGCTGGAGTACCAGGAGTGGCTGAGGGAGCTGGGAATGGGGCTCAGCCTGGAGAAAAGGAGTCTCAGGGGGAATTTCTGGCTCTGCACAACTCCCTGACAGGAGGGGACAGCTGGGTATGGCTCTTCTCCCAAGTGACAGGACAAGAGGGAACGACCTCAAGGTGCACCAGGGGATGTTTACTTTGGATATTAAGGAAAATTTCTGCACTGAAAGGGTTAACCTGGCACAGGCTGCCCAGGGCAGGGGTTGAGTCACCCTAGAGATTCTTAAAAGCCACACAGATGTGGCACTTGAAGACATGGGTTAATGGTGGCCTTGGCAGTGCTGGGCTAATGACTCCTCTTGATGATCCTGGAGATCTTTCCCAACCTTAATGATTTTATGATTCTATAAACAAAGAGCGGGATGTAATTCAGCTTCTCTGTCAGTGGGACACATCATCCTCAATTTTAGCTGAGTCAGAGCTCTATGTTTAGTCTGACCTGATTTTTTTCCATTCCTCCAAGACCACAGAGAGCAAGCAAACAGCAGCTCTGAAGGCTTTCATCCCACTCCACTGCCCATGGTTGGATGGATTCAAACTTAAGTAGTCAGCACTTAGCTGGAAAAGGTCAGTGATGTGTGAATGTCCACACACCCTTAACTCAATCAAGGTTAATAAGTAGATTCACACTGCAGGACTTCGAGTTTATGGCTCATTTTGCACATTAACTAAAGAAGTAAATAAATACCTTTATCACAGCAACCCTCCTTCAACCTCCTCAGTGATAACAGCAATAACCCTCACATGTCACAGCTGTCACTGATATAGGCTGACAAAGGCAGATGGAATTAAAAGAATCCAAAAATATCACAGTTTTGGGCACCATTAGGAAACAGAAAACATGGGATTTTCTGTTGGTGGATCATCAGGGTGCCTGCTGAGCAAGGGAACAAGTTCAGCTGCCTTAATTCCTCCCAGGTGACGAAATGCCCATGGCTGGAAAGAGCCCAAAAGAAGTGTGAGTCCTGCCTGTCAAAGGGGATATTCCCTGAAGGAAGGGCTACATAATTATCTTTCTTTGGTTTATTCCTCCTGGAAAAGTTGAATTAGACTTTGTACAAACCCACTTTACTAATTCTCCATTTCTAGGCAGTTTTTTACTATGTTGTGTTGTTTTGTTTGGGTTTTTTCCTATGGAAAAGGCAGAGATTTTGGGCTTTGGCCTCTCTCACTGCAGTGGGCAACTGGCCATGCAGACAAAGGGCTGGGGAGCGCATGAATTCCAATTTCTTATCCAAAAAGTAAATATAAAACCGAAAGAGTGACAAGTTCTGGCTAGCTCATGCTGACATCAGAGGGTGAACTGTAATCCAGTTCCTTGGGAATATCCATTATGGGTGAAGCTAAAACGTGGGAACCACCCCTCACTAATCCCTCCTGGCACGCCCAAAACTCCGTGTAAAGGTGTGCTGGGTTTGTCAGGGCTTTTCCTACTCATACTCTGATCCCTGAGCAGAAAGATGAAGGGAATGTTTTTCTGGATGTGGTTTCTTGCAGCCCTGAGTTCTGCAGCAGCTCTCACATAACAAGGAGTTGTAACCAAAGTCTTTATTAATGAGAGTTTTCCTTCCCTATGGATCCTGGAAATTGTTAGAGGATTACTGTGCAGTCTGCTGCTGCAAATAAAGCCTTTGCATATGCTCCTAAATTAAATACAATTCCAAGGGTTGCCACAGACTGAAGGAGCTGCAGAAATGTTTAGTCTCATCTGCAGGGCCAGAATATCCAGGGGACACGTGGCAGCTCCTCAGACAGGTGGGATTCACAGAGGAAGGGCTGCGAGCCTCGATGTGTCCCTTTCTGCTGATCCCAGGCTGTTCCTGGGCTCACCTGGACCTCATGGATGGAGACTCCAGAGATGAGAACCAGGGTGACCACAGTGGTTACAGGATTTGGAGTCAAACAAAGTGTAAAAGTCTCTGGGGCAACAAATGTAAAAGTGCTCAGTTCTTTTCCCCAGGATTGGGATTGACGAGCAGAGAGACGGCTTTCGCCTTCAGACTGAGGATGTTTATTTTTCTTATCTGTATTACATTCTCACAGACAGTGAACACTTGTACACACTGACCTAGCAAGCTACAAATGGAGACCCAGGGCTTTGTCCACAGGGCCTTTTATGCATAAACTATCCAATTATCAAATGCCAACTCATTTATTTTTACTTTTAACCCAATAACCAAACACCCGTGTTCCGCACTGCGAGCTTTTCTGTCCAATCACCCAATACCACCCAAAACCATGAGGAAGGCAGAAAGGCAAAGACAAGCCAATGCCCAAGAACATCCATCTTGTCCCTCATTCACTGCTATATCTCAAACTCCAAATTTTTCACCCAGTGACTTAACATAATTCTATCTAACTCACACATTCGCATTCCCAGCTTCTCCACTCAGTTTTAGAAGCCTTCTCCGTGGTCTTAAATTAAACCCAGTTTTCTCTTGAGTGTCTGAGCCTGCCAGCACAGATAAAGGG